GCTGAACATAACGCACTTGCTACGCAACGCTTTGGCCTGACCGGACTGCTATCTGTCTGCTCCTTATTTCTTACTGCAAATTTATCTAAAATGTAAAAATTCTCGGTATAGACACGATTAATGTGACAACTTGATTGTGGCCGCAACATGCTTGTTGAAATAAAAAATAAATGTTTAAGCTGCTTTCGCCTCCAATTTCCTATTCATCATGGATCAACACTTCTACGCCATCAAAATCTCTGCTAGTCATTGCTTCTGAGTTTTAATATATTACATATATATATATATACTTTGCAAAATAAGTATTTATAGTTTTTATTATATACTAAAGTAAAAGTAGTAAATATTTAATATACACTACTATTAATTTACGGCACTCAGTTTTTAAATTTTCTGACGTATTATACAGTATATAGTAAATATAAACAAAATAATTAGTTTTACATATTATATATAGCATTTAAAAATATTAATACATACTAACTATTTATATATTTAGTACAAGCTAGCATTTATAAATATTATGCTGCACATACATATTAACTTTTATAGTTCAACAAATAGTCTGGAAAAAATGCAGCTATATAAGAAAATGATTTTACCTTTGTAGAAGTATATATTAAAAGGTTTCAAACATCTTTTAATAATTATATTAAATGTTTAAAAATTATTCACTAGTTGTTTCATCAGATTTATAAATACACTGGTGTGCAAAAATTAAGCAACAGGTGTTCTTTTTGACATAAATCCACGAGATATCATCTGAGAGATATGAAATTCAGAAATAAGAGACAGCATTTGTATTTAAACGATGACGAAAGCATAATTGCGCATAAATGAACACAATGCATACAGTATGGAATTAAACAAAAACAGGCTTTATTGAACTTATTATACAGTTGCACATGATTGGCTGTATAAGAGGAAGAACAACAAGCAGATGTTCCTTAGTATGGGATATGCCCTCCCCTTACTGCAATGGTTGCTTCTCACCGTCTCCCCATACTCAGCACTAGATTACCCAAGAGATCTTGAGGTGAGAGAGCTCATTCCTCAATCAGCATCTGTTTCACAGTTGTTGGGTGTTCGCCGGCGGATGTAATCGTGCCTCAAGACGTCTCCCAAAGCATCCCACACATGTTCTATGTGGTTTAAATCAGGGGAGTACGCTGGCCAATGCATTCGAGTGATATCTTCCCTTTTCAGTAGCTTCTGAACAGCAGGAGTCCGGTGTGGCCGTGCAGTGTCATCCATAAAAACGAAGTCTGGTCCAACTGCACCTCGGAACAGACGCACATAGGGAAGGATCATCTCCTGACAATAGCGATCTCCGGTTACAGAACTTCTGTCGAAAACGTGGAGCTCTGTCCGCCCGTTCAGCATAATGCCTCCCCAGACGAGATCTCCAGGACACCGTAATGGTCTCTTTCCGTGATTTTACTGAGATTAAACCGTGTTCTTACCTTTCTCCAAATAAGTTGGCGTTGAGAATCGCTTGGGGCACTTAAACGACTCTCATCCGTAAGGAGGACACGACTCCATTGATGAGATGCCTAGTTTTTTGCGCTCCTTGTACAAATATAAACGGTGGCGCCGATGGCCAACTTTCAAAGGGATGCAGCGTTCAGGACAGCGGGCGAATAGGACAACTTTGTGAAGGTGTTTGGACACAGTAAACCACGACAATTGTCGCCGGTTGCTGTACACAGTTGCTGAGCTGTGGAGCTAGCTGACCGGTTTTGTTGGTCTTTTCGCCTGTATGACGATATATCGGTTATCTGCTGCAGTTGTTGTCCTGCAGCGGCCATCACCAACCTTTCTAATAGCTGTACCTATGGTTTGGAAGGCTTTCCAAGCCCGCGAAACTACGCTTTTGTTGACTTCGAAATCTTCAGCCACATTGGTCACACTACGCCCATCCTCCAGCTTTCCGACCATTCTTCCACTCGTGAAGTCATCCACATGATTTCTTATAGCCATATTTCACGAAAGATTTCACTTGTACTTGCAGCGAATGTCTTTCATTGCGTCTTCGTTCTTCCTTTTATGGTAGTCTCGAGTGGAGCGCACGCATTTTGCGTACGATCACGTAGCCTAAGATGTTTTTTTCCGGACATTTGCATATGCATGACCTTTCTACTGAACTGCGTGTTCATTGTACCGATAGCAAGAATCCCTTTTCTGCAACTGCATGGTTATCTGATTAAAATTTGCATTGTTGCTTAAGTTTTGCACACCAGTGTGCTAAATGAATATTTAATATTCGCTAAATTATAAATAGTAAGTATTTAGCATATTCTACTCTTTATATATATTTCATTACAGGAAGTTATGACTTATCTCATTTTACTCGATTTATAATTTAACATAGATTTAACACACTAAATGAATACTCAATACATTTATTATATACCAAATTATAACCAATAAATATTTAGAATACACTAAATTAAAATTAATAAACATTTAAAATGTATTACTAATATTTCTAAATACTTTACTACACACAATTATTGAATTTTCTAACTAAATTAATATTTTGAATAATTCAGTCGTATTGAAAAAGGATTATACCCTAACGAGGGCATACACGAAAAAAAATTTAGAAATATCTTTATGCATTTACACTAAATAATAATACAAATTCTCTGTTTGATACATTTTTTTAGACCTTGATGAATGCTATAAAGCAGGGGTTCTCAACAGGTGGTACGCGTACCACTAGTGGTAAGCAAGAGAAAAATAGGTGGTACGCAAAGATGCAGAGTATTTTTAACTATTAAATTCAAAAATTAAACCCCCAGCATCCTGAATGAGTTTTTTCTCTAACACTGGTAAATTTATGCGGTCTGAGCTTTGTTCAAGAGTGGTGGTGGTAGTAGTACTTTGTAGTGGTGGTTCTAAAGGGTTTTCAGTTTTTGCTTAGATGGTACGCATTAGTGAAAAGGTTGAGAACCGCTGCTATAAAGTATTTATAAACGCTTTACTACATGCAATTCTTGAATTTTCTAAGAGAAAGTTCATTGAAAATATTTACTTAACGAATTAAGAAAAAGGCACTTTAGAGTAGGATAGCATTAAAAGGAGAGGGAGGGGGGAGGAGCGGCATATTCGGGATAGGTGAACCGAAATTCGATTCTTTTTCGAAATGTACTTTGACACTTCTTCTCATAGATTGTTAACAAAAAACAAATACTACAGATCAGAGAGCAAATAATATAAAATGACAAATGTGTGGATTTGTGAAACAATAGATTCTAACATACACCAGTTGAAAACATTTACAACTTTAAAAGCGATCGGTTCAATTCAACATTTGCTTTCGCAGAGAAATTTCTTAGGGAGGCTGGTTCGTATATATTATCTTCATAAAAACTAAACCTACGAAAGCTTCATGCAGCCAACGAATTCACCGAGAATTCAACTCGAAAGGTTTACCATTCCGTGGCGAACTCCACAAGTATGAGTGGATAAAATCGCCGAAAACTCTATTAGTTTCACCCTGGTTCAAACCCAGTGAACTCACTAGTTGCATGTGAATTTCTCTGGTTTTCGATATTTGTTATGTGAATATGAGCTAGTTTCTCTTGGAAAGTAACTCACGAAGACTTCCTTTCCATTCAGCGAAGAGACCTAGTGTACTTTGCCATAATATAATAAATGCAGAGTACAGGAAGTTAATACATCTGGTCATTAAAATGAGGCCCATATAAAAAATGTAGCCATAATGTGAATAATAATTTCTCTGTAATTCACAATTTTACCCAATTTATTCAGAGATAAAAACAAATAATTTTTCACCAAAGCACAAAATGTATGGGCGTTAGCTGACTAAGGAAAAGAACGCTAGAATCATCTGCCAAAAAGATAGTGAATGTTTTCATGTAGGATTTCCTAAGCGCTTTCTTCTTTTTCTTTTGTATAACCTAATACGTATTTACATTATACGTGCCGCCTCGAAAGCCCCTGCCGACAGCTCGTTTGTCGAGATATGAACCTCGATCGAGCTGCTAGTTTCCTGTGGTTTTATCTATTCTCAAAGAATTAAAAATCTTTTATTAATTACAAAAAGTGTTGCAAATATTCGCATTAATTATCAGTTAGATATATTATAAATTAAACATGATTTAAACTTAAAAATTTAAAGATTTGAAGTTTAGTGTTTTCATTGCTTCTAAAACTCTCAATCTTTTGATTTCATGTTAGTTAAAATACAAGTAGATGAAGTGAATTTCGTTTTCTTAAGTATAAACTAATTCCATTATCGAATTTTCCTTAAGTAAACAGGCAAAGTAAGTAAAACAGGCTTATTAGATTAGTTTTAGACGCAAGTAAATGAAATACAGTTTCACTATTTGACTTCAGATAAAAAATAAAATGTCTATTATTTATTGCATTCGGGCAAATGAAAAAAAGTCAATGTTTAAGCTTTGTGGAAAAATGCACATTTAGTGTTTTTTTTTTTTTTTTTTTTTTTTTTGGCATGTATATTTTTTTGTTAAATTAAATAAAATAACGAAAAACTCAATTTCCGCCACTTCTGCTGTAATTAATATTTAGTTACTCTACGATAATCCAATTATTCGCATTTTTCTAATACCTAGATGCGGTGTGCCTAACTAAATTTCGATAACTGCAGTTTGATTTACCTTAATTTCGAAAACGTTTCCCAAGGTCATTCGAAATTTCTTACAAATTTAAAATATCGATACTGCTTGAAAAGATACAATTAACTGGTTAATGATTGAAAATAATGTTTGCGAGGAATATTCGGCTGAAAGGAAGAAATACCGCCGGTGCATGTTTTTTAAGGAAAATGGGCTCGTATTCACGTTATACTTCGCAAAGACAACGAGTACCGGACACAACCAAGTCGCTAGCCGGAAACCATCTCCTGGTCGAACTGTCAGCATTCAGCGTATTAATCCGCTCGTCTTGCGTTTTAAGAGAATTATATCACAAGTCCTCCTTCATCAGTAGCAAAGACAGATTCTACTCACCTTCATCCAGCATCTCTACTTTCAAATAAAGCTGCTCCCCTAGCTCCACTCCCCTGACTTCGTAGCCGGAAGCGTTGAGAACACGTAACCGCACAGGGGGTGTAGCGGCCAATCCTGTGATCACTTGCGTCAAGCTCTGCAGGTCACTGAAAGGATTAAAAAAAGAGTTGTTAATATTTAATGCTGTTAAATATTCCAAACTATCGATTGTTTGTTGCTATTAAATAAAGAATCAAAGCAGGCAGCTGAAGTGATCGTGAAAAAAAACTAGTCCCACCTCGGGTGTCAAAGATGTAATGTTAACGCACAGGTTATAAGTCCACCGCTTTGCAATGAACTAATGCACACAGAAATTCTAGAAGTTATCCTGATTAAGAAAGAAACCAGAGGAAATTCTGGAATTCTTCTTCCCCTACAGAAACTCCTTAATAGAAACATTCTTAAGTGTACACTACCTACATCAAAAGTGAAACCTGAAATTTGGCCTAAAATCTATATCAGCACCATTTCAGTACATAGATAATTTAAAGTTTTATATCATGTGCGAAGTTTCATTCTCTACTTCATCACTGTTATAAATTTTCTACAGTTTCATATAAGAGCAATGATAAGAATGAATCATGTAGACAATGATAAGAACGGATTCTTTCGTAATTTGCCAAAAAACTTCTTGCCGTTCCTGACAGCAATTACCGGTCGTCATTCATTGTTTCATTCTGCGGACCTCTCTTAGACTTATTCTATCAAAATAATTTTAATCAAACGTCAAAATCTGAGACTTCTTTTCCAAATCTTTCTGAATTTTATGGTATTTCATTCGGTTTAATCGAATTACATTTTTTATTTGGACATTTTGATGGAAAAAATATTTCAAATACGGGAAAACGTAATTTATCAGATCAACTGACATTTTTAATAATGAAATATGTTATTGTTTTTACATATCAGTTTTCGCGCCGTGGCAAAATACGAAATTGCTGATCGCTCGACAAACAGTTTCAGTTATGGTAAGCATTATAAAGTGCATGCTGAATCACTTACAGGTTTTTTGAAGCAGCAAACATGAAAATTCAGCTATTTTTTCTCCGAGATTCTGATCGGATTTCCCACTTGTAGCTGAACATGCTAACCACAATAGCGCGCGGAGGAGGGATGCAATAATTCTTTGTATAATAAATGAAGCATATTTCTAACTCGTTTCAGCATGTGTTTCTGCCGCCCAGCCCATAAGTGATTAGTGACACTAACTACCGTTCCGATGGACCCGGGTTCGAACCGCGAAGAAGACAGGGATGTTTGTACGCCTATAGTGTCCGTGCGGCATGGAGCACTCAAAATACACGGCGAGCCAAAGTCCTCTCGAGAGGTTGGTGGTAGGGAAAGAAGGATGGAAGACCGTAGAACCGGCCCTTCCAGTGTGTTCTCCAAAACTGGAAAGGCAGCTTAACATATAGTTAGGTTCAGTAATACCTCAATTACCTGTGGTACGTAACTGTAACTGTTTTGTAAAATAAAGTTTTGGTTTAAAAGTAAAAGCTACGGCTAACAATGAAAAGCTGTAAAAACTTAGCAATTCTAGTAGTCTGTGCATTCCTGTTTTTAATTTTAATCAAACAATAATCTTCTTTTTAAACATTAATTCACTTTTCGTATTTATCTGTTGCAGAAATTTATGTTAAAATAAATGACTTAAAGAAAATAATGCCGCAGTTTTCAAAATCGAAATTATGCTCTTGGCATGTATTTTTATTTTATTAGCAGTAAAGAATTCACTTTAAGAGCTGGAAACATTAAGTGTTATGTTCTTATTTATGAATCGGAAGCCTGATAGTCTCCATAATGTAACATAAACTCCTGTTATAGTGTATAATAATTAAAGCTTTTAGAATGCTATTTGTGTTTCTTTAAACACCACTAAAAAACACCTCTTCCAGGCATTTACTGCATTCACTTTGCTTATACAGTCCCAATATTTTCATTTATCTTTACTATTATAAAAATGCGTTGCTTAATACAGTGTAAGCCAGTTTACCTAAGGATTAGCAGTATTTTCCAACACATGGCTATTTAACAGCATGAAGGTTATCGATATAATAGGTATCTAAGTTCTCTATAAATGGACGACTTCAAAACGTTTAACTTACTTAACTTAAACGACTTAAACGTTTAACTACGTTAACTATCGCCAGCATCCAGAGCAAAATCAAATGGTTGTTATGTTGAGGCATTAGGAGTTTCTGAAGCAGAAGACAAGTGACGGGGGACGTGGGCACTGTGCCTGTACCATACTGGTTAATCAATGCAGCACCACGTCCCCCATTATCTAGAACAGCCCCAGATTTCAAGAGGGGGGCCACACTGGCGCCTCACTGAATTAGTATGCATTGATTATATATATAAATACAGTGTCTTATACGTCGTTCAAGATAATTATTATGTGATTTCCTACGATGACTTTGATAACAAATTATAATTATACCCATAAATTATAGTTACACGCAGTTACATATATTCTTACATTGAATAATACTTTGACAATATATGACTTGATTAAAATATACTTTTGAAATATGTTGAACAGTCACTATGTGACTCGATTAAAATATGCATGGAAATACGAACACTATATATTGGGATGCGCGTGATATAACAATGATTATATATATTACATACCGACATATAAAGTACAGACATATATACTCGACACCTCGAATACGGCCCGGTGTGCTGAAACTACGCCATATAGAAACGGGAGAAATACCTATATATCCCCTTTCAAGGGCGGACGCGACTGGGTTGGGGAACCCACGCCAATCTGTGTTATGTGGGTAGAGAATCATATCCACCACTTTTTAGTTCGGGCGTCCTATACAATCCTTAGCGATGTCGAAGCAAGGATTGAAAAATAGCAGTTTCTCCCGGACTCGACCTCGACCTCTCGAATATGCGCCGAGTGTGCTGACCATTACACCACGAAGGCATGCTAAGAAGGCCGGAGAAATACCTTATAGTGATACAACTGTATACAGACTTCTATATCTGCTTTATTTTATTTTTAGCCCAAGAGTGGTATTAGTCTCAAAAGATGATTTTGCGTTGTTTCATTTTTCATGTGGGTCTGTTGTCCTGCAGAGAAACGTAAGATATTTTTCATTCATATTTAATCTCTTCGTTCTCAATTAACAAAATAAACCATTTAAAAGCAATAAATGCAGTTCTAAAGAATATTATTCTTTTACTTTTTAATCCGATTAATTTAAACACAAATGCATTTAGAATCATTTCCTGTATGATAATGTTTAATGTGACTGTAATGTCACGTCGGTCTCCTGAACGTTACGAAGGTTTGGGAGAATAGCCCGCACATAAAGCCGGTTATTAATCCATGTGATTTCTTCTTATGGGATTTTTTGAAAGATTAGGTATTAAGAGAAAAATCCTACAAAAGAAGCAGAACTCAGAGTTCTTATAGTGCATTGCCGTGCAGTTTGGGAAGACAGTTGCGACAAATGCAAAGGTTTGCTTGCAAGAGGTTGTGAATTAAAATGGAGGACACGTAGAGCACATTCTTCACTAAACCCTTTTCCTATCTTCAGACAGTTAACTATGCATAAATAAATGAGTAATAAACAAAACGAAGGGTAGCATATTTCGTACGCCACCATGTAGTTCAGTTAAAAATTTAATTTTTAATACAATTTTATGCACATTTATAGCCTTTAGTACAATTCAGAAAACTCTGAATTATATGGCCTTGTTTTGTTTTATTTTGTTTCAGATTTAGATTTACGATTGTTACTTGGAATGATAAAACAGCGACGCATCTGCACAGTTTTGTAATTCTCATATTAAAAGATATGTTTATTAGTCTTTAAAAATTAATTAGAATAAATTGAGGGCAACCTCTTGGTATGGGGACCACTCGCCATTGCATCTTTCGCGACCCTATAATTCCACCTTCAATCTAGAATAAAACATTTGAATGCCTCTCCCCGAAGTGTGTTTGAAAATGAGGTGTACGAACCCTACTTCACAAATCTTTTCATTCTCGTATTTGCAACTCTCCTTACATCAGAAATTTTGTTCGTCATCGTAGAATTTCACCATCAGCACCCAGGGAGAGAGCTCGTCCTCCAATAGAAGAAGCTGTTAATCCTATCAATTTGCACGGTTGGAGAGACGGAGTGCCTTGGAATATGCAACGGACAAAATTTGCATTTTTATGAGCAGCAGGGCGACCCTGTTATTTGGAGAGTTTTATTACAGACCTCTTGATGTGGAAAAGAAATTTTCTCCACCTTTCTCTCTCTCACACCCTCTCTTATCTATCTATCCATCTACTTTCTTATGATAGAAATATCGTATAAATAAGGTAGGTCTTTCCGATTTTTAAAGTCCTCTGCTGGCATCGTTCACGGGCTCCGGCAATTGCTGCAACTGGACGAAGAATTGCACTGTCCTATAACAGTGACTTGTCAATCTGTAAGTCACTCGTTATTTTGAGTTCCATTTTACTGAAGTTAAAAATGTCCCGAAGGAAATCTTTCCAGATATCTTTTTCTGAAAGTGTTTCCATTGAGTGAAGCATAAAATATTCCATTTTTCAGATTTAAGTGATTAAAATAAATGAATGCAATTTAAAACTAATCACTCAAGCTATCTTAAGCGTAGATTTTAAATAAAAGTTTTTCAGTTACGAGGGTTTTTAAGCAAGGCCCCCTCTTTTCCAGGAGCAAAATAGTTTTTTTGAGGGGGCGTTGATGAAGTAAATTCTACTTCATTGACCCATCTAATTGCTATACAGACTAAAACCGCATGTAGCGGTGGGAACATGCGGTTTTAGTCTGTATCTTTGTCTTAGAGAAGGCTCTCTTTAATTAATGTCTAATATGTACACTTGATAATTTTTATTAAAATCTGCACCGTTATTATATACCGAATCTGCACCGAATTTTCTCCTTCCTTACAGCGTTCCTTCAGGTGTTAATTGGAAAGAACGTCCGACTAGCAAACATTAAGTCCAGAGTTCGAATCCCGGCGAGGGCATTGTTAATTTTTCATGTCTCCTGCTCCGAAATAAACTTACTAGTGACACTCGAACTGAAATATTGCGGACGTCGTCACCACCAGAATTTGGCTGATGCAT